TAATGAGACCTAAATATATTTAAACAAGCACTGATACACAATCTTTCAGGCCTTGATTTTCTCATTTAAGAGCAGAAAAGAAACCCCACTTGATTAAAAATGGCATGAAAATAAAACCGCTTTGCTACTTGGTATTCATAGAGTAATTCAGAACTCAAACCTTTTCCATTTGTAAAATTTTTTATCTGATAACCTTTTATGCAACCTCTGAGGAATAGGTATATAATTGAACATGTTAAATGTGTCCTGGTAATAACCATAAGTAAATTTGTTCTGAGCCCGTACTTTAGTGTACATATTAATTCACTATTTTATTTATTAAAGGTGAAAGTACATACAATCAAGATGAATGTGCTTATTTTTACATAAAGAGTAAATTATGCTACATGATGTAGAGTATTTTCAATGCTTTATTTAGTTGATCAGTACATTTATAAGAGTCAATTCTAAGAATGCCGCATGGCATAGATTTATATTATGCATGCAGAAATATCTTTAAGTCTATTTCAGAAATTGTGGAAATTCCTGATTCAAAGTCCAAAATCACTTAATGATTTTTCAGGACACTCAAGTTTCAAATCTTTATCACTTGATGACTCAGCAAATTCTTTTAATGGTAGGTGACTGACTTTTTTTTTATTCTCAACTTAGAACAGATTATTAACCAAACTTAATTTTTTAGAATCAAAATTTGAGGAGAAACCTTTTTGATACTATACCTACAGGAACTTCAGATCAATCACAACTCTTACAATGAGCTCTTAGGGAATGTTATTTTCCATCTTAAGATCACTTCTAACTGTAAACATTTTAAAAAGAACTATTTACCACCGTATTTTGTAAAGTTAACAGATTTAGTAGAAGCATTTTCATTTTATTTTTAAACTTAAGTATGTTTTACTTTTTCTAGATTTCACATTATTCAATTATTGAATTTGTAGTGTGATAAAGATAAGCTTCAAAAGCTATTAACCATGAAAACTTTGTTTTTAGATATATATTTTGCTAAGAATCACACTCTGGTGTGCTCCGGACTTACAGCTAGCTCTGTGCTCAGTCAGTGGTATCTCTTGGCACTGCTCAGAGGAACTTCTGAGGTGCCCTGGGTTAAATCTGATCAGATGAATATAAGGCAATATTCCTATCTGCTGTTCTAAACTATTTTGCTTCTATAAGTAGCTATAGCCTTTTGTCATTAGTGTTTACAATTTTGAAAAAGTATGTAAACAAATAGCTAAGAGCACACCTATTAATTAAATTATTTTTTGTTGCAAAACACATCTTTTTTTTCTTTGCTTATCAGTAAACCTTGATGATTTAATCACACAGCAAGAAAAAGCGATATACTAATTGCCAGCATATTTAACTTTTTCTACAAATCCAGTACCCTCACCTAACATTTTTCTAGCACTATTTGTTCAGACTCCAATACAGTTCTTCCACTGTAAAATTATTTGTAAAAATTTCTTTAATTTTTCAGATTTTATGTCTTTCCTTCATGTGCCCTTACAATGGTTAAAAACCACAATCCCTGATGATATATCTCCTAAACATATTTTAAGATGAGGGAGATAGCACAGAAAGTTAAAGTATTTCTGACAGTCTTGACTGATTAAAATCCTCTACACTATATATATGGTCCTTTGAGCACTGCCAGGGGTCAGTCAAAATAATCCCTGAGCAGCACAACACTGTATGGCTCAATATCCCTTCTCCTCAAATTGAACATGACTTATATGAAATAAGAGCTGCTTCATGTTAGAAATAACAATTGAGGCAGGGTGGGATAGGGGGATGGGAGTGGGAGGGGTACTGGGATCTATGGTGGTGGGAAACGGGCACTGGTGGAGGGATGGGTATTTGATCATTGTATAATTGAAACCCAAGCACAAAAATTTGTAAGTCTACAACTGTACCTCATGATGTCTCACTAATAAAAATTAAAAAAAAAGAAATAACAATCGTTTCATCTAATTAAATTGTGGTATTCACTGCCTTTTAACCTGGTAATAATCTGTTAGAATTGCTGATTGCTTCTTTCAAAATAATCTTAGAATCCATTTTATTTAATACAGGAATTTTACAAAACTTGTCCCTATACTTTTTCCTATAAACATTTTTTTTGTAATGGTCATAGTTGTCATCAAATCCTCTTCTGTCGCTTTGAGCTTTTTAGCTTTTTTAAATTAATAATAAATTTTATTAGAGATCAATAAATAACTTTATTGACATTAACAAATTCCTAACCATTATTTTGATTTAATAAATATTTTAAAATTCATTCAAAATGTTCCTTGGGATTGTTGAATTACACGTTGCTTGGTTTTGTTTGTTTAATATGTAAATTTAGTTTGCTTGATTTCATGCTCTCTAAAGCCAAAACTTTATTTCAAATTAAGCAAAGAGGTTTATCCACACAATCTTGATTTTTAGAACTGAGTAAATATTGCAAAATAATTCATATTTTCTTTTTCTATCAATTTTGATGCACTTAAACCTCAGAGCAAAAACTCTTAACACATTGTCAGCAATATTTTTACCTCTTCTTTAATAGTCACTTATCCACCCCCCAAAATATTTTGTCCAAAATTTGTTTATAGTTTCTGAAATAAACACTAGCTTTACTCAATGATGTTACATTTTTCAGTGCCTAATTTGTATGCAAGTAGAATGTCTAATACTAATTTAAGAATTAAATTTAGTCTTACCAAAGAGCTATAGCTAATACCTTCTTAAAGCATTCCAGTGCACTAACAGGAAACCAAGTAGTCTGTTGGAATGGACAAGAACCCAGAACTTTCGAACATCAAGGACTGCAAGTAGGTTCCATAATGGAAAAGCTGCTGGTAGATCAACTTGCTATGTCACTTTGGGGCCATTCCTTGTAGTTCTCAGGTCTACTCTGAGCTTTGCGCATAAGGATAACTCCCACCAGTTCTTGAGGACCATATGGGGTGCCTGGGGTCAAATCGGAGTTGCCAAGTGCAAGGTAAGCACCTTAAACCCTGTATTTAGGCTCTGCAGGTGAATCTTGAAGTTGTTTTCCTTATGAAATCCTGTGCTTCTCATTATATAAGCCTAACAAAAGCTTTGTTTGCCAAAAAAAAAAAAAAGGTTGCCATTACTCCATAATACCTCTTAAATCCTGTCATGGGACCGGATAAATCTGGTGTAGGTTTCCTTGGCTTTCTAGCATGGCACAGGAGAGCTTGAGGGAAAATATGTGTCCTGACTATAGTTAATAGGAAGGCAGTGTCACAAGAAAAGCTCTGTTTGGAAAGAAAATTTATTTCTTCTTGTTTCCCCTAAGACCTAAGAGGAGTCCTAGCAAACTGAAAATAAGTCTATAGATTGGAAAATGTGACAAACACTCCCTGGAAGAAGTCACCTAGTACTAAAATGTTTCAAAAAAAAGTATTATTTTATCATAAGCATCCACCATCTAAAAATATTGCAGGATAAGGATTATACTCTCAATAGGGATCCATACTACAGTCTGGACAGTACTCATCAGTGGAGACTAGTTCGTGAGAAAGAAAAGTGATATGACTGCCAAACCCAGAGAGAACATTTAAATTCAATCTGATGACTATACAGCACAGATTCAATAAATGGGTACAATTAAATTTGTTCTTACTCTGCTCATGACCACATTGATTATCACTGTATCACTGTCTTCCTGTTGTTCATCGATTGCCTTGAGCAGGCCCCAGTAATGTCTCCTTAGTCCTAGCCCTGAGATTTTAAAAAGTGCCACATTTGAGGCTCTTTGAGGGTCAGGAGAATGAGACACATTATTGTTACTGGTTTTTGGCATAATGAATACGCCATGGGGAGTTTTCCAGACTCTGCCGTGTGGGCAGGATACTTTTGCCAGTTTCTCCAGAGTAAGAACCAGATGATATGCTTCCGGGAGCAGGGTTTTATAGTCTCTGGGTCTTGGCCATTGATGGGATTACACCAAGCGCCAGGGGGCAGTTGGTGGGTGTAACAACTGCAACTGGAAGACGGGGGATCTGGATGGAGGAGGCCCCATTCCCAATCCGAGCAGGATTGGAGATTTACGCCCCAGGTCCCACACATCTGGGTTCCTCGGCCAGTTCCTTCATGTGTGAGGCTTGTTGGAACATGTGGAGAGTGGTCTTGAGCATGGCTGTGGATGGAACCATACTTTCATTATAAGTAGGCTTAATGTGTTGGGTACTTTGTTGTTGTTCATTTGGGGCTACATTCAGTGATGCTTAGGGGTTACTCCTGGATCTGCACTCGGGAACTACTTATGGTGATGCTTATGGGACCATATGGGATGCCTGGAATCAAACTAGGGTATGTCATATGCAAGGCAAATACCCTACTCCTGTACTATCTCTGTGACCTTGAAATCTGTCTCTTTCAGAACTTTTATTCTTAACTAATTGCAAGTTTCTGAAAGGGAAACTGTCACAAACCCACAAATCATTTCTTTTTTGCTTACTGTAAGAAGACAAATAATTCTGCAAGTGCATTCATGAATAAATAATTTCACAATATTTCTTATTTGCATTTTGTTTGTTTAATATCCTCGTTCTTTCTATGAAGCTTTTCTCTCCAGACTGTTAATGCTTTTTGCTTATTTTATTTGGTATATAAACCCTATTTACAATTATTGACCAATTATTGATGGATAATTTTTCCTGCAAATGCAGAAACAAATGAATAAATTTTGTCTTATTTTTGGTTAATAAATCTTTTGTTAATTTAATCTGAGTGCCCTCAGATAGTAAACCTAAAATAACAGGAAAAAAGTGTTCTTCATAATGGAACATTATTATTATATGTACATGTATGGATATATACATGCACATATATTTAATATAATGCATGTATTTTTATTTCTAGAAGCCAATAAGAAATATATATTCGTACCTAAAAATCAGTGAAAAACACTTTCTTTTTGTCAAAAAGTGATGTAAGTGATTAGCAATGTACCTGTCTAGCTTTCAAATATTACCTCTTAACATTCACAATTGCTGAGCAAATATTTTTCTCATAAGAATCCTTTTCATTGCATCTTTGGCCTCTTTGTTTCTCACACTGTATATCAGAAGATTTAGCATTGGCAGAAAAAGGGTATAAAACACAGACAGGATTTTGGCTCTGTCCTGAGGGTAGCTAGAGCTGGTACCCAGGTAAGTAAATGTCACAGTTCCATAGAAGAGAGTAACCACTGTTAGATGGGAGGCACATGTGGAGAAAGCTTTATATCTGCCCTTTGTTGAGTCTATCTGCAGAACAGTGCGAAGGATGCCCAGATAGGAACTGACCACTATCAGAAAGGTGGTCCCTGTGGTCATAGTAGAGAGAATAAGAAACAAAGCCTTGCTGTATTGGGTATCGGAACAGGAAAGCTGAAAGAGCAATGGAATATCACAGAAATAGTGATTGATGACATTGGGCCCACAGAAGGACAAACTGAGCAGGCTGCTGAGGTGGGTGACTGAGTTGGCACACCCCATTAAGTAGGAGGCAGTCACTAGGTGAATGCAAAACGTGGGGGTCATGACCCCTCTGTAGTGCAGTGGACGGCAAATAGCGACATAGCGGTCATAGGCCATGGCCGCCAGGAGGAAGCACTCAGTGGTTAGAAACAGGCTGACAAAGGAATACTGAATGAGGCAGCCACCATAGGAGATGGCCCTCTGTCCTGCTAGGTAGCTCTCCAGCATTCTAGGAATAAAGACTGAAGAATAACAGAAATCCAAGAAAGCCAACTGGCTAAGGAAAAAGTACTTGGGAGAACGCAGCTGGACGCTGGCCAGGATGATTGTGATAATCCACACGTTACCCACCACATTAATGAGATAGATCAAGAGAAGCACGACAAAAAGGACAAAATTCAGTTCAGGATTATCAGTCAGTCCCAGGAGGATGAATTCAGTTATCACACTGACATTTCTGTCAGCCATTTAGGTAGCATCTGCAGGGAATAGACAAACAAGAAAAGAACCAAAGAATGCAATGTCAGTGTATTAGAACTTACTGGTGTCTTTAGAAGGCTGCATGTTTTTATAAGCTATGCTGATAATTTACAGTAAATTAAGTTCTTCTTGAATAAAAGATTGTTTTCCTGATTATGGTAAACTAAAACTTCAGTTATCCAAGTCTCACAATGAAACACAAACTGACATGGATCTCACAAAGACATCCCTGGTGAAATAAAAATCCCTTGCGAGAGTCCTATTAGGAATGTTTGTTTAACAAAGAGCATTCAGGAGGCTGATGGTGGCTAACGATATGTCTCCCTTTCAAGAACACAAGGCAAGAGTTTTTGTCTTTTAAAGCAGAACAAGGGCCAGAGCAATAATATAGAAGGTAGAGCATTTGCTTTGCATGACCTGGGTTCCATGCCCGGCATCCCATATTGTCCCCCAAGCACTGCCTGGATAATTCCTGAATGCAGAGACAGGAGTAACCCCTGAGCATGGCTGGGTGTGACCCCTAAAGTAAATAAATAAATAAATGAATAAATAAATAAAAATAAATAAAGTGGGACATATATTACCTACGAAAAAATAACCTTCAATACTTAAGAGACAAATTTTATGGCATCTGTGAAAAGAATCTTTATGATATTGTTGTAAGTTTGTCCAATAGTGTCAGAACACATAGGTAAACAATAATCTCCAATAAAAGACACTCATTAATATGTTAGAAACCAGACTATAGTTCCAGGAAGCTCAGAGATCTAAAAATACTATAAAACTGTTTATAGTCATAATAGTATTCTAAATTCATAAAATCAATGATAAAACTTTGAAGAGAAAAAAAGAGCAGAAAAAGATTTGCCTTTAAATATAGCATATATTTAATTCTTAAAATAGATATGTTTGCCTACACTGTATGTATTAAAATATTTTAGTGTGTTTATATATTTGTATATATAAATTATGCTTGATATATATTATTCCAAAAATTAAAAAATGAGAACTATTGGCATCATTTTTAAAGCTTGTTTCTTTCAAGAAATCATTGTTTGCTTTTCCAAATATTGGTGCCCCTTTCATGAGTTTGTTTATTATTGTATATATTATCTAATACTTGGATTAGTCCACATCATATTTTTTTATTACCTGGCTCTAGCTCTATACTCATGAATTACTCCTGGCAGAATTGGGTGACCAGACATGGTTCAGGGGATCAAACTTAAGTTAGCATCTTGCAAGGAAATCACGGTTTCCACTGTAGTAGTTCTGTGACATCACTAGAAAAAGTGTTAGTGCTTTAATCCTTGTGGTCACAAGGTCTAAAATCTTATTTAAGGACAACCCATACATATGCTTTTTTACACACTGAAACACATGAAATCTGATATTTTTAATCTAAGAAAATGTATATCATTCATTGTTTTAAGTTATAACACAAAATTTAAATTACATAAAAGTAAGTATCTGGTATTATTACATTTGGAAAAACTTAGCTAAATATTGAAAACAAGTTTTAAGAAAAGCTTTCTTTATGGCAGGACTAATGAATATACATAATACTTTTCCTATTTGGGAGTTACTAGAAGAAAGAAGGATATAGGGACAGTGTTTCACAATTGCCTGATATCTAAACACTGATAATTTTTTATGAGATGTTGTATGATTCCTATTTTGGTTATGTTTCTCTGACACTAAATAAAGAAAGACACAAGCTTACATTATTTTCCCTTAATCAGTGTTATTAAAAATGAGTTATTTGATAAGCAAATACTTACTGAAAACCATGCTATGAGATAGCTTTAGTAATGTCCATTCTAGAGAAATTTATGAGACCATAGAGAATGATCGAATAGTCATTTTTTTTTCTATATTCAGCTTTGATTTCATGACTCATGATACTCTAAACTTAGTCTCCTATTTGTTTCATTTATAAACTGTCTTCAAGCAGCAGTTCTAAATCAAGTAAGAAAATTAATGAAAGACATCTGTTATCCCATAGATGCTCACTAATGTTCACTGTCAATTCAAAGTGAAACAATATTTACGTATGGAGAGATTGATTTTGACAGAAATTTTAATTACTTTACCTAGCTTTGAATTGATTGACTACATTAACAAATCAAATTGTTACTTTGACAATTCTGAATTACTCTTATTGCATAAATTTTATTTTTAATAGTTATTTAATTATTGATTTTTTCTACAGCCTTATTTTGCTATAGAGACAGTTTTATACCATAAACTAATCTTAGAATTTAAAGACTGTTAAATTCCTTCTTGTAACTTACATAATTCAGTGTAAATTGTTATTGAAGCTTTAAATACATCTGCCGGAAGGAATATAGAATTAACCCCTTGATTAATTTGAGACTGTTAAGTTGATAAGGATCTGATTCTTTGCCATGTATTTCTGTAAAAGAAATTTATTGGAGGGAGATTATTTTTCTTGACAGCATGTATTTAGCTGCTATTTTTTAAAGTCAAAGAAAATATGAATCCTTTGTTAGAAGATATAAATGTGATACTTACCTGGAATTGAGAGGAATTGGTCCTTTCTGTCAGTTACCTGACTGGTGCTTTTATTTGGCTCAGTGTACTTTGGAGGATGGAATCTCCAGGGATTCCCGGAATACAATTTTCTTCGAAATCATTAAAGAGAGTCCTGGGAAAAGTCAGGTCCCAGCACTCCCTTCCCCAAGTAGAGCAATTTGCCCATTTGGCACTTTCTCATTTCTAGAGAAATTGTTACTCATGTTCTTGTCTCACCTTCATAAAACTACATAAGGAAAAATTGAACTGTTAAAAGAAATTCCACCAGTGTTTCGCCTTATGCTATATGTAATCACATACATATAATGTGATTATATGTGATGTAATCACTTACATCACATGTAGCACATAATTTTTTAGATTCAAGAGTCCCAAAGTCATTTGTTAATATTCATTTGTTTCTATAATGAGTTGATCATTCAGTTGATCATGGGGAAAAAATGCATGCTTCAATGTCAGACAAACCAATATTACGTAGATTCAGTTGTATGCTTGTGTATGTGCCTGGATATAGGTGTATGAACTATTTTCTCAGACACTGGATTGTCTCATAGTTTAAGCTATTTAAAACACTAAAATAAATACTAATTTCAAAATATTATCTTTATATTGAGTGCACATAAAAGCAATGGATTTTTATGTGTTTTTTGTTTGTTCCTAGATCCTTTTATTTAGCGTTAAATTTTCTTTTTAAAAAAATTGAATCATCGTGAGATAGTTACTAAGCTTTCATGAGTGGGTTTCAGTCATATAATGTTTCAACACCCATCCCTCCACTAGTGTATATTTCCCACCATCAATGCCCGCCTTCTCCCTCCACCTCCTGGCCTGCCTCTATGAGGGGCACTTTTCTACTCTCTCCCTTTCTCTCCCTCTCCTCTCTCTCCCTCTCTCTCTCTCTGTATATATATTTATACATATATACACATACACATATATATGGTCATTATGGTTTGCAATACAGATACTGAGAGGCCATCATATTTAGTCCTTGACCCACTTTCAGCACATATCTCCCATCCACTGTGATCTCTTCCAATCATCATTCTCATAATGGTCCCTTCTCGATCCCAATTGCCCTCTTCGCCAGTCCTTGAGTCAGGCTTTCAACTATGGACCTATCTTCCTGGTCTACTGTACTTGGGAGTTAGTCTCATATTATATATATATATATATATATATTTTTTTTTTTAATTCCACAAATGAGCGCAGCAATTCTATGTCTGTTCCTTTCTTTGTGACTTATTTCACTCAGCATGATACCCTCCATGTCCATCCATTTATAAGCACATTTCATGACTTCATTTTTTTTCTAACAGCTGTACAGTATTCCATTGCGTATATTTTCCATAGTTTTTTTTTTTAACCAGTCATCCGTTCTTGGGCCCTTGGAATGTTTCCAAATTCCAGCTATTATGAACAGTGACTCAATGAACATACAAGTGTAGATGCCATTTCCACTGTGTTTCTTTGTACCCCAGGGGTATATTCCCAGAAATGGTATTGCTGGGTCATGTGAAAGCTCAATTCTGCTTTTTAATAATGAGTAGAGTTACACTTGGAGTGGTCACTGTCACTGTCACTGTCCTCCCGTTGTTCATCGATTTGCTCGAGTGGGCCCAGTAATGTCTCCATTGTGACAATTGTTACTGTGTTTGGCATATCCAATACGTCACGGGTAGCTTGCCAGGCTTTGCCGTTCAAGCAAGATACTCTCAGTAGCTTGCCGGGCTCTCTGAGAGGGAGGAGGAATCGAACTCGGGTCAGTCTTGTTGGCCACTTCCAAGGAAAACACCCTACTGATGTGCTATCGCTCCAACCCTTTGGAGTGGTATAACAAAATATTAGTTTATTAAGTTTATTAGTTTATATAAGTTTATTAAGTATATAAATTAAAATTATTCTTACAATAATATTGGCCTTCCTGTTGTTCATCAATTTGCTCGAGCAGGCCCAGTATTGTCTCCATTGGAGACTTTGTTGTTACTGTGTTTGGCATATTGAATACGTCACGGGAAGCTTGCCAGGCTCTGCCGTGTGGGCGAGATACTCTCGGTAGCTTGCCGGGCTCTCCGAGAGGGGCGGAGGAATCGAACTCAGGTCGGCCATGTTGGCTGCGTGCAAGGCAAATGCCCTACCGCTGTGCTATCGCTCCAGCTTTTTTATACCTGAATACCTTCCCACAATAGCTTCACTCACCATGCCCACATCACCATGCCAAGATGCAGCCACTATTACCCCACTATCCTCCTCTGCCATGCCACTTGGTTTGGGGAAGAAAAAAATATTCTCAAGGCCACTCCTGGTGAGACTCAGGGGAACAAACTAGGTCCCAGAAATATAACCTGGTCAGACATGTACAAGATAAGCACCCTCTTAGCAGAATTATCAATCCTTCTCAGTGGGGCTATCTCTCCTGCCCTTCAATATTT